CTTTCCCTATATATTATAGCCTTGGTATGTATGTACAGAGTATGTATATATATATATATAATACGAAAGAAAGAAAGAATTCCCCCGCCCTACCGTAGCTGCAACTCCCTGACACAAAGCGGTTATTTATCTCCCGGTCGAGCATGTGGACATGGACATGGACATGGACATGGCCCGACAGGGCGGAATAAATTACTCATCCATCCATCCCTCCACCCTTTCCATCCTTCCAGTCCAGTCCAGAAACATCGAAGAAGAGCAACGAAGAAAGAAAGGAAAGTGGCCACAGACAGACAGACGGGATCGGATAACTCGGAATCGGGTCCGGGTCCGGGTCCGGGTATCTGCATTCTGAGGTATTACATTCCTACATAATGTATAGCCAAGTCTTTTTTGTGGCAGGTTTCTTTTTTTGGTGTCGTGTTACATGCGGGTACCTACCTACCTTTGTATACTTGGCTTTGTACATACATGCATGCAAGTACACAGAGTCAGTCCCATTCCCTACTCTTCACGCTTCACGCTTCACTCTTCACGCTTCACGCTTCACTCTTCACTCTTCACTCTTCACGCCTGTTAGTTAGACAGGGGGCAAGAGGGGGCCGTGGAAAGTATACATGTATGTACATATATATACATACTCCCAAGGAATAATGACGACGACGACGACGATGACGACGATGACGACGACGATTTAATTCGATGGTGCGGAGTCGGAGTCGGAGCCAAGCGGGTCGGGGTCGGGGTCGGGGTCGGGAACGCAGCAGCTAGGTACATTATCATACAGTAGGTACATACAGTCAGTGTACCTATCTATGTGTGCAGTGATTATTAATACCTACTACCTACCCACTTTACATGGGTAGATGTGGTTTATGGTCATTGATACTTTATATTGATACTTTATATTGATACTTTATATGGGTATGGTCATGGTTATGGGTGGGTGGGACATGTATCCATCTATAAAATGGCCTTGGCGAATTCATCGCGCGTCTCGACGACATGCTATATGTGTGGTTGCTATTATAGGGGCTGATCGGACGGATAGATGCATGACCTTTTGGGGCATATGTAAATTCACCGTGTTTGATTACATCTATTGCTGCTCTGTCTGAGACATCTTGGGAGTATACAAAGTAATGTTAGGTATCGGGAGAATATAATAATGTGGCGAGGGCCTCGACCCAGTGGTAGGGGAGCGCGCCATCGCCGTGCATTCCATACGAGGGTTTTTTTGTCTATAAATCGGTATATACTGCACACCACAAGCCCGAAGAAAACGTCTAATGTGAAAGCGAGAACATGGTGTGGAGAAGAAATGAAGAACAAGCAGAGTCAAACGCCACGTTTCCGAATTCATGTACCGTGCCCCCAGTATGCCATGCCGTCAAGACGGCCGTGAAAGGTCGTAGATTAGTGTCGTGAGATATTTCCGTGTTTGTTTCCCGCAAGGAAGGAACACGGAGACAAGTGGTACTCGTCATGGTATCCATCTATGGAATGGACGAGTTGATGAACTGAGAAGGCGACTTTCCGGCGCCGTCTGGTAATTACAACAGGGTTGCAAGGGCAACAACTTGTCCTCAACCGTACGGGCTAAAATCAACCTTGTCGGCATCCCGCAACCTCTCGCCCGAGACTTGGCGACTCGGGGCTCTCGTGGTGACTTGGGAGAAGGCCTCAAAGTCTGATTCGCCGGTATCGGTCTTCTTGCCCTTGTCGGAGAGCAACGTGTTGCGGCCTAGGATGCGAGCGAGCTTGGTACCGACGCGCTCCCCATCCACGCAGGGCAGATAGTATCGCGAGATAATCATGCACATGGCGGAGCACAAAAGGCTGACGCCAGACCACATCTGGACAGTGATGTACGTCTGGTATTCGGAGACGAGATGGCCAGCGATGACGGGCCCAATCAGGGCAGGGATGGCGGCGACGCTGTACATCAAGCCAGTCCACTGGCCCAGCTTGGCGTGTGGGTGGTGTCTGGTCTCTGGGGTATTGTACGTGCAATCCAGAATGTTGGCAATGGACGCAGGTGGCAGACCGATGACGGCGCCGCTCATGATACCGAAGCAAACGCAGAAGGCGATGGCGGCTCCAGTGCTGTCGGCCAGGGACCAGAAGAGGAGTACGAAGACGGCGGAGATGAGCTGGGCACCAATGTGCATGTTGAGTTGGCCCGTCCTGTCGCAGAACAGGGCCATGGCCAGGCGGCCGAGGGTGGAGGAACCGTTCATGATTGTGAGAAGCCAAAAGGTTTGGAGGGCTACGTGGCTGGGCTGTTCGGCGAACTTGATGGGAGAATGGCTGCCACCGCGAGTGCTGTAGCCGGATATTGCTGCCCACTGTTTCGTATCAATATGGATACGTATTGATGAGGGGAAGCGTGAGTAGACATACCTCTTCAAGGTTGAAGAAGACGGGGTAGAAGCCCAAGAAGAGGAAAGCGACTGCAGCAGTGAACCAACAAAATGCCTTGTTGCGCAGCGCATCCGTGTCGAACCAAGTCCTGAGTTTGCTCCAGCTCTTGGGCTTGTGGTGGGCGTGTGTGGGGTTGGGGGTAGCAAAGACGAGAGAGAACAACGAGGTCAAAGTCACGAGACCAGCAACGGCACGAACGGCATTGTTGAAGCCGAGGGCATCGACGAGGAAGCGGATCATGGTAGGGTAGACGACGCCTGCGATGCTGGCACCGCACGCTACCATGCCGACTGCAAGGCCTTTGCGCTTGGGAAACCATGTTGCCGCGACTGTCAAGTTTGTCAGTGGGGAGCTTCTCGATGGTTGGGGGGGGGATGGAAAAATACTTTGAGAGCTGGAAACGAAATAGCAAGCCATGCCCAATCCCACAACGAGGCCCTGAGTACTCCAAATGTTGATATAACTTGCTTGGGCGTCACCGCTAGGGTGTGCGATGGAGAGCATGAACATGCCAAAGGGGACGAGGAAGGCACCCGTGGCGACGATTTTCCTGGAGTGGCCAGCGTCGAGCAATCGTCCTACGGGACCGGAAAAGGCCAGGACCAGGAAGGACTGGGTTGATCCGATGAGATTGAGTTGAAGCTGGTCAGTCAAACGCATCGATGCGCCGACGTAGTAGGAGGAAAAGGTTCCGTACGCGTTGACGAGCCCCCATGAGTTGAACATGAGGAAGAAGCAGGCAAGCCAGCAGACGTAGGCTCGCCATGATCGAGGCCAGTTGGGATCTAGGGCATGTGCCTCGGTCGAGGACACCATGGAGACATCGTCCATGGACGCTGCCGGAGTGGAAGTGGCTGACAATGTGAGGTCAGTGGGCCTAGCTTTTTGGCTTTCGGCGTCGTCGTCGACTGAAGGTCGGGGCATCATGTCGTGAATATGTTAGATGTCGTGGGTGTTGTGTTGTTTTCACCCAGGAAGGGTCGGTTTTGTAATTAGACGAGGGGCCAGACTCAAGGGAATTAGGAGATGAATGCAAGACCAATTATTGGCTTTTGAAGACTGGGTTGAGAAAGTGGAAGGTGGGGAAGATGGAAGTATAAGAGGGGATTACCAGTGGTCATCAGCAGGGCAGGCCGTGTTAGAGGCAGATGTGAGGCAGATGTGAGCCAGATTTGAGCCAGATTTGAGCCAGATTTGAGCCAGATTTGAGCCAGATTTGAGCCAGATTTGATGCTCGATTGACGGGAGACGTGTTTTGTGACCCACCCAAGACGGAGCATGCATGGGATGGGCAGTAAGCGTATGGTCTGGGAAGCGATTTCGTCCATGGTGACGTGGTAGCCAAACCGGGCGTGCAATGGTGAAATACAGCCATAGGCACACAAGCAACACAAGGAAAGAATCCAAGAAGGGCCAAGAAAAGGGCGTTTGCCAGAGCGGGCGAATGCGGGCGAGTGCGGGCCAAGGCGATGCAGTCCAAGGTATAGGGTAGGGCAGCTACCTATCCATTTATATCCATTTATTATCGCAGCATGCACCGTCCCGATGGGCAATCATGTTGATTGATAGAAATGTGTAAGAAGAGATGGTGTAATTTACCATGAATGAATCATGAGTGACTGAGAGAGATGGACGCAATGGCACACCCCCATGGACCCACGGCGCTCAGCTTTCTCGACCACGGATGACAACTGGGGCCATGGTAATGGTGTTGTTCTGCGAACGGGCAAGGGGAAGGTGGAGCGGGACTCTGAACCCGGAGCCGCTTGGCAGCGTACCGGCGGGAAGCGTGAGAGGCGCAGAGGAGGTTCCACCAGCCAAGACAGTGATTGCAACCGCTGAGCCTTTGTGCGCTGCTTGGCATCCCTCAACAGGGGCGGGCGGATCATGTGAGGGCAGCCAGGCACGTGGGAGAAGGATATGTCGACTGCTATCGATGATTCGTCTTCGATGGTTCGTCTTCGATGACAACCAAGACGGGCTGGGCTCAGCAGCGAGTCTGGCCAGAAGCCGCAGGAGCTTCACATGTGTGGTGAAATAGTGAAACCGTAAAACCGAGTGTGCACGTCACGGGCGGTGTTTGGGCTGCTGCTGCGTGCATGCGGAGCCGCAACTGGCAGTCATCGGTGTTGCGTTTGTGCAGATACCAAGTATACGGATGGCATGGAAGTGCAGCCAAAGACTAGTAGGTCGGATAACATGGCAGTGCAGCCAAAGACGAGTAGGTCGTCGGATAACATATTGGCAGTGGAGGGCCAAAAAATAGGTAGATGATGACGACAACGATGATGGCAAGCTGCAGATGGCGGTCAGGGCGTGCGTGCGTGCGTGCGTGCGTGCTAGCGATGAGGAGGGCAGATGTCTGGATTGACGAACCATAATCTGTGGTGTTGAGGCTTGCCAAGCCCGCGCCATCATAACGGACGCTCGGTCCGAATCGGGCCCATCCATGATCTACAGATCTAACTACATACATACTTACTTACCGTGCATATCTTTTTTTTTTTCTTTTCTTCTTCAACCATTTATCATGAATATCTTCTAGCTCAAAAAAAAATGCCAAAAAGAAAAAAGAATGGACTTGCTGGGAATCGAACCCAGGACCTTTCCCAATTGTTTTCGAAGCAATGCTAAGGGAAAATTATACCACTAAACCACAAGCCCTCGTACTTGTTTTGTGTTGATTCCGGTGTAATTTTGTGGTTATAAAAGATACCGGCTTGCGCGCCGCCACCACCACTCATATCGTCCTGGCATGTTGCACGACGCAGACGCACATGCACACGCACGCCAGAATGCGCAGTGTAACCGTGGAGGAGCCCACAGCACCCGTCTTGGTATGCAACTGTATCTTATATTATGGATGGAATGTTGCCCATTCATTCCATCTCGTGCGAATCCCCCATCTCTGCCTCTGCCTCTGCCTCTGCCTACCCATCACTGCCATGTTTTGTTTTTCTTTCTTTTCCCCATTGCTCGGCTCCTCTCTCCGTCTTCTTCGGTTGGATGTTATGGATGTATGGATCTCATGGATATTGATTTTTCATTTCAAACCTGCTGCTGTCTCTCAGTATTCAGTACACCTCTCCTATGCCTCCTCGCCCCTTTCCTCTCCAACAAAGCTCCCATAAATTCCATGTTTTATTCCATTCCATTCCATTCCATTCCATCTCACGACCACCTCTCGCACAATCCCCATTGCAAACGTAACCTAGCATTCAACATACCCACACAACACAGATTCATTATCCAAACAACTCGACACTCAAACTCAAACTCAAACATCCATGACGAACCAATATTTACAACTTTTTATCATTATTTTATTTCATGTCAAGTCACACGAACGCGTTTACTATACTAATTGCTCCCCTTCCTTCCTTCCTTCCTTCTTTATTTCTTCCTTCCTTCCTTCTTTATTTCTCCTTCTTCTTCCCCCTTCCCCCTTCCCTCGCCAAAGATAGAAAACAAACAAACAAACAAACAAACAAACAAACAAACAAACAAACCATATAATAACAAGAATACTAAATAAAAAAAAGAAACCTCTAGATTTTAAAAAAAAAAAAAAGGCAAAAACAAGATTCCGAGAAGAATTTCAGAAAAGAAAAGGGGGGTCTTGGGCCTAGGCCTAGGTTCTAGGTTCTAGGTTTAATGTTTTTGCCTTTTTGCCTTTTTGCTTTTTTGCCTTTTTTGCTTTTGCTTTTGCGTATTTTAGGTATGTCTTTTAGATGTTGCCGTACATATGTACCGTACTGTAGCGTAGCGCAAAAACGTACGCCGTGCTGCTGAGGGCAGAGACGAGGGCAGGGCAGGGAAGGGAAGGGCAGGGCAGGGCAGGGCAGGGCAGGGCAGGGCAGGGCAGGGCAAGGTGTTGCTGTGCTACTTGACTTGATTTAACTTGTTAATTTGACTTGGCTTGAATCGACCATCGCTCTTCCCTGCTTGGCTATTGACGACGTGTACATATGTGTACACGTTAATCTGCGTCTGGACATGGTGAGCCTTGTTCGAAATGCAGATTCAATTCCATACGTCTTCTAATTGCATGTTCAAATGGCATGCTCAAATGCGTATTTACATTGCATGTTTAATTGCATATTCAAATGCATGGTCAAATGCATATTCAAATGCATGGTCAAATGCATATTCAAGTGCATAGTCAAATGCATAGTCAATTGCACAGTCAATTGCACAGTCAATTGCACAGTCAAATGCGTATTCAAATGCATATTCAAATTCCATGTTCAAATTCCATGTTCATGCGGCATAACAAGTATGCATGCAAGATCAATTTCCAAAACTGCCAAGAAAAAGCCCGATTAATCGCCCGCAATGATCAACGCCATGCTCCGAGTATTAGTTGAAAACTCCCCAAATGGCAAGCAAGCGCAGAGCAGAATACAACCGTCGAGTGTGTGCCTGCAAAGGGTGCATGGCAGTCCAGGCGAGCGCAAAGGGAGAGAAGGAAAAGACATCTAGACGCCCTTGATGGCAACGGTCCTCTCACTATTCAACCTCTCGGCATTCCTCTCATGACTCTCCTTCTTGCAGTCCTCCAGCCCCTCGCACCTGTGATCCTCCAGCAACCGATGACTTCCACAGAATTTGCCGTCGCAAAACGAGCAATCCCCCGTTATCCGCTGGGCGGCGCGCACGCACTCTTTGAAACTGCACTTTATCTTCTTGGGTGGCATCCCGCCCCGTAGGGGGAGGGCCATGTGCAAGGTCGAGTTGGAGGCTATGTCGAGGGAGAGCAGCGTGGCGAGCGGCGACGATAGGTGTTTGCCTGCGTGGACGAGACGGAGGTCCGTGGGCGACGTGTTGGTGCGGAGGGCGAGCAGGGTGCGAAGGGTGTGGATGGACGTGTTGGAGGGTAGGGTGAGGGGGATTGCTGCCGTCCTGTTAGCTACGTGTTTTTTTGTCTCGCTCGTGGGAGAGTGGCCGCGGGTTCCGGCTGTTCCGAGCCTCGGAAAGCAGGCGGCGATGACGACGACGGCACAAGGCAGAATGGCAAGGGGAATGGCAAGGGGAATGGCAAGGGGAATGGCAAAGGGAATGGCAAGGGGAATGACAAGGGGAATGACAAGTGGGAAATCAGAGACGTACTGTTCAGGCCCGAAATGTCCTTGACGAAGATCTGCATGGTTTCCTCGTCGGATGCGCTGGAGCTGATGCTCGAGATGCTGTCGCTGCGGCGCATGGTTGCTGGTCGGTGTTGCTTCTGGTGGTGGGTGGTGGGAGAGGACGGGTTCCAAACTTTCCGCTTTCTGTGCTGGAGAAAGTGCGTGATGGGTAGTCGGCACAGGCAGTATTTGTATGTAGGAGGTGGTGCTATGTGTTTGATGACGAGGCTGTGGCGTGTGTCTGGTGGCTAGGTGCTGGGCGGGCTGGCTGGGCACTCTTATCGGCAGAGGACAAGTAGGGTTGAGCGGGAAGGGCTGCGAGGACGAGGACAGGTATTTTTCGTGGGTGTGATGAATCTTGGTTGGATGTCTAGGTTATTGGTGGTGGTGGTAGTGGTGGTGGTGGTGGTGGTGGTGGTGGTGGTGAAGAGTGTGAAGGTGAGTGTGAGGGTGAGGGTGAGGGTGAGGGTGAGTGTGATAAGAGGAGCAGAGGTGAAAGGGCGAGAGCGGGAGCGAGAGCGAGGTGAATGAGGTACTTTAAGAACAAGGGCGAAATGACGCAGACGCAGACGGCAGCTCCGACGACGGCGAGGAAGGGCGACGGTTTTATAAACAAGGCCTGTTACCAACACCGCGGACCCTGCCAGGTGCACTGCACACATTGCACACACAGCACACAACAGGCACACAGACACAGACTCATACACACACACACACGCACACACAGAGAGAGACAGGCACAGGCACGCGACGACGCACCAGACAAGAACCTGGTTCCACACCACCACCGAACCACCGAACCACCGACTACGACTCGAGCCAGCTTTGGATGCGCCAGGGGCCGTGACTAGAAGCTGAGACGTTTGATTAATCAATACCCTTTCCATGGCCTTCTAGTTCTATCTTTGTACATACAGTACTGTACATATTACGCGCTGTCGTCTACATACTCCCCACCATTATAATAAGACAATGAGCTGCTTTCATGCAGGGCTCGCCTTCACATCTCGCCTCAGCTACCTACCTAGTCGACCTCATCCCTGCTCTACGTGTCTGGGTGCCAGGATGTCTGAATGCTTGGGTGTCTGGGTATCTGCATGTCTGGTGTGTGCCATGTGCATGTCTGGGTGTCTGGTTGCCAGGGGTTGCCAGACCAGGTGACACGTATCGAACCGCATCCCTCCCTCTGCATACATACATACATACAGAGTACATATGTATGTACATACATACAGTACATACATACAGTACATTCGGTACAATGGTAGGCGAAAATGCAAATGCGACAAATATCCATGCTTGGCTCATCTAGAAGGGCCTCATGCACGACAGGTAACACGTGGATGGCGTGCGCGAGGCCCCTCGGTCGGTCGTCCAGGGAGAGAGAGGCGCGAGAGAAGCCGAAATATAAGCGCCCTTCATTGATTGGTGGCGTCTTCTTACACATGTATGTACATGTATGTACATACATACATATGCAGGTAGATGGGTTGTCGCACCAAGGACGGCTATCTTATCTTATCGCTAATATCGCCGGACCACTTGAACTTGACCCTCCCTCCTGGTCGATATACTCTGTATACATACCTACATATCACTACCCGATGATGAAATGATAATGATAACGACATGTTATAATGTACTGTATGCATATGAGTTTCTCTAGTACCTTTGTATGTATACCTATCTAGCTAGTACAGTACCTTTGTAACTCTATTTATTACAGTACATCATCTGCCGATGCCTCGCCTACCTACTTTACGCTAACCATTGCTAACCATTGCTAGACGGGAGGGACATGGTTACATACAGTATGTATGTATGTACATATTAGTACATGTACACGACAAGCAGAGTTCCATCAACTATGCATCTATGTACATATGTAGATACATACATACATGTAGACTACCTAATTAATTATTATAATACCTACCTACCTACCTACCTACCCAAACCTACACCTCTCCAACCTACCCACCTCTAGTCATGCCACCCACAGACACATGCATATCGGCAAATTTTCTTTTTTTTCTTTTCTTTTTTTCTTTTCTTTTTTTTTCTTTCTTTCTTTCTTTCTTTCTTCTATAATTACCTACCCATAGATACATACATACATACATACATACATACAAAGGTATATACCTCGTTCACACATTCTTCCCACTCGGTACATACATACATACATACATTACATACTCTGTAATCAATATACATGGATAATATTACACCGGCGCGTTCCAGAAGCGTTTCGTCGCACGTCAAACCCCCAAAAAGCCATTAGCGCCCGCCCGCTTTCCAAAACTAGGGTACAATCATAACCTTGAACATTGAACATCAAACATCAAACATGCTTGAAAACATTATCAATCGTCATGTTTGAACTTTTTTTGGAAATGTCCAGAGTGCCAAGTGTGGCCACCACGTGCCACGTGCGATAATAATTATGCCGCATTTGGGGGGGGGGGGGGGGGGGGGGGGGCAGGCAGTATTATTACCAGACAGTAGGTATAGGTATATGGGGGTGGATTCTATTTA